TAGTAATAACACAAAATAGAATAATAAATAGGAATGAACAAGAAATTTTTGCTCAAAACTTGTTTCAGAAATCATTGATATTCCATCAAATTCATTTTTAGAATCGTTAAGAGTCAAACGCACGTTTCTTGAACTGAGTAATTGCATCGAAATATCGGTATTGTCTACATGTCATAGTTGGCCATTATATCAGGAAATCGAATTTTGTGTATGCACTCGAGCTCTTTATATTCATCATCCTGTTTACTCTGAATTTATCTTCAAATTCAGAGTAAGCTTTTCTTCGTCAGAATATTTGTCGTGTACCCAGTAATCAAAGATTTTGTTTATGTACTAATTTCTTTTGGAACTTTAAATGGACTAAATTACGCGTCCTATTTAGTTATTTTTAGATATAGTATTTTTTTTTTTTAACCGAATTGTGATAAATATATATTACGTAAATTAATTATTTTTTACTTTTTCGTGACAAATCCAAATTAGAATTCTACAAATCATCAATGGCATATGAAGCTAAAAAGGGAGGGCCTAAATAACCATTCGAATAAAAGACTGTGTTTACTTAAAATTAAACATATAAGTTGTTTAAAATTTAATTTTACATATATCTTATTATTACTTTAATATAACTTTTCAAATTAAAAATTGAGAAATTGATGGGACAAAGTTGGGATGTCTTGGGACATTCTGGAACGGGACAAGGTCAAAAAGGCCTGGGACAGTCAAAATGTACAACACTGGTGATAGCTACCAAAATGCATAATTCAATTTGCTGTAAAGTACAGTACATAATAACTTTGATTTTTTTGTCCATTCCTGAAATACTTGAATCCTATTTTATCATTATCGTTAACATTGTTCAATAAGTCATTTTCCGACAAGTACATAGGTTCCCATTCGTGATTTTTTAGAACTGCTTGAAATACTTCGATATACAGAAAATTCGGTATTATTCGAACAATTTCATAATGATATCACCACGTTTTTCTCTAACGCGCATCTCCTCTTTGTCTACCTAGAATAGAACCAAGATTTCATTCACGTTGTAAATTTTGTTTTTTTTACTATTACAGTGTTCCATATTCCATAACTTTGCAAGAATAGGAATTCTTGTGGATCAGATTGTGATAAAATATCCAGAGTAAGGATATTTTTTAGCACTATCTTCGGATTAATTAACGTACAAAAGAATTTCTTTTACATTGCCTAAACTAGGAACGGATATAAATCTGATTTGGAAAATTCCAATACTAAAGAAATTTAAATATACATACCTCCTTAAAAACAATATCGTATCGTACACTTATCCTAAAATACATAACGATAAAGCAGATCAAATTTTTACAGATCGGCCAAAATTAGAGCAATCGCTAATATGGCTTGGAGTATATCAAAACCAATTTAAGATATCAATATTAAAAACCAATGTTAAACAAAATAACCGAGGAATCGACAAAAAAACGTTATAAAAATCATTACTTAAATAAAAACACAATAGAAATATCAATATTTGCATTTTTACCATAAAGATAGTTAATATGAGGAAGACACTAAGACTATCAATCCTCACGCCATAATTATATCAGCCTTTTTGTTTAAAATATACTTCTTAT